TCTTTTGTTATCTTAATAGTTTTTAATATTAACATACTGCATGTATGTAACTACACATTGGCTTGTAAAATAAACAATCTTGTTCATCCCAGATATAACTTTTTTTTTTTTTAATCCTCACTGGAGGACATTTTTGCATTTATTTTCAGATAGAGCGGGAGGGAAAAAGTAAGAGAGAGAAACATCAATGTGAGAGACATATCGACTGGCTGCCACCCACACGACCCCAACTGGTTGGGGCCAGGCCAGATATAACAATTAATGAATTCAATAACTGGACTCCTGCGAGTGCAATATATAGTTATGAGTAAATTCAGGTTTGAAAAGCAGATGCAGATTTTGCTGGATCTATGGACTAAGAAGGCACTCAATTCTTATAAACTGTTTCTTTCACTATATTTCATTCACAATAAATCACATTTGATGGTGTACTTTGAAGAAATTCTAAGATTAAACACAGTAGCTAAAAAAACTTACAAAAATGAAGTCAATTTTTAAGTTACTATCTACCTGTGACCTGCTGTGTCAACATTTGTAAGTTAATAGAACTTGTTTGCACTTGATCACTGCATGCTCTGGATGCTTTTTCATTCATTGGCTAGAATTACAGGAAAATCATGCCCAAATGAACTTTGAATCACTTTCCCCAGGAATTTTTCTTCTTTGTGTTTTTTTTTTTTAATATATTTTTTTATTGATTTTTTTACAGAGAGAGGAAAACAGAGAAACATTGATGTGAGAGTGGAACATCAATCAGCTGCCTTCTGCATACCACTTACCGGGGATGGAGCCAACAACCCGGCCATGTGCCCTGGCCGGAACAGAACTGGCAAGCTTTTGGTGCACAGGACGATGCCCTACCAACTGAGCCACACTAGCCAGGGGTCCAAGCTTTTTTTTTTTTTTTTTTTTTATGGCTATAAAGAAGAGGATGTGATGGAAGCTCCATTAAACCTCAGCCCAGCCCTTTCCTCCGCCAAGAGTACCAGGGTATGACAGAGGCTCTCCAGGTGTTGGGGAGATGTTCTGAATTTTCCCCACATCCTTTCCTGGACCTGGATTAAATTCTGTTCCTCTGGTTGGAATATGGCCCATGTGGTTGTGGTGATAGCAAGGTACCTTGTTTACTCTCCCCCACAATTCCCCTCTGGCCTGGCAACTTACTTTAAAATTAACCTTAGCCCAGGGCAAGGAGTAATCTTCTCCACTGGGAACACCCCACAAGAAGAGGGTTGGCTATACAGAAGACCCACCTCTGCTCAGATCCCAAACTGAGCCACAACGTCACACTTGGCCCCAGGCTCTCACCTCCCTAAACCTTGCTTGTGGCTGAAGGCCCTGTCTTCTGCAGTTCTAGCTCCTACCATTGGACTAGTGCAATGAGGGTGGTATTAAGTCACAACTGACTGGTCAAGAACAAGAATATGAACATTTCTTATATATGGTATTAGTATAATGGTTATACCAGAATGTGCCTTTTTTTTTTAGGAGATGCATGCTGATGAATTTTGAAATCAAGTGTCATGGTGTTTCACTTTCAAACAGTTCAGACAATAAAATATACATATACACATATAAAGCACAAGTGCATATATTACTGTTTTTCTCTAATTCTGCTTGTGAATAGGAAAACTGAGGTCAAGGAAAGGCTGTTCATAGTTAAGGCACCAGGATTATACATAATTCTGTCAAAGGGTGATTGATTAATCTTTTTTTTTCTTTACTGATTTTACAGAGAGGAAGGGAGAGAGAGAGATAGAAACACTGATGAAAGAGAACATCAACTGCCCACCTCCTGCATCCCTCCCACTGGGGATTTGGCCCACAACTTGGGCATGTGCCCTGACTGGGAATCGAACTGGCAACCACTTGATGCATGGGTCAATGCTCAACCACAGAGCCACACCAGCCAGGCTAATTAATCTTGAAGGTATTTCTGCTCTTGGCAGGGAGAAACAACTGGGCAGCACTGTATCCGCCTAGCAGATTGTCTCCATGCTGGACCACAAAATGATTATAATTTGGAGGGAACATAAAACATGAAATGAGTACATCTGGATGTATGTAAATTGAGCTATGTGTAACCCTAATAGTTGGTGTTAAAATTAACCTGGTTGTCAGGCGATCCTGCCACCAGCTTCCTTCAGGCTGACCTTTATTATTATTTCTCTGTCCATCTCTCTCAACATTCTCATCTTCTGGATTTCCCTTGATTCATTTCATACTTAGTGAGTACTGTTTGATGAGTTGGTGAGTCCAGGACAGGCTAGATCATAAGCTTTGAAACATAATGGCAGAAACCTTGCCTTCAAGCATCTTATACTCTAATAAAAATAGGGAAAAAAAAGTATACAATTACTATGACTATGATTATGTTCCTTTAACATAATCCTTTACGATCTATAACTTGATTATTTCTGCAAAGATCCTTTTACCAAATAAGATCCTTACCAAATATAGGTTCCAGGGATTAGGACCTGATTATCTTTAGAGGACATTTTCAGTCTACTACAGATGGGGAACATTGGAAGCACACTTCAGATGGGTGACCACTTAAGTTCTTATTTGTTATTTGACTATAACAAATATGTTAGCTGACTACTACAGCTAAACTATGTTCAAAATAATATCCCATTCCTCTGTAAAGTCTAGCCTGTGGTGTTTTCTTTTGCTTCCTTCTTTTACCTTTATGTTTCCTCAAACTCTCATTAACTAAAATAATCTGGGCATGTATATTGAGAGTCAAACTGTGGCAAAATAGCTGACCTAAGAATGGTTAATTTTGCATATAATTATCATATTGTAAATTTACCACAATATCAATGGTTGTAGATCTTTTGGGATAATTGGTTCAGTCCATGTTCCCCTTCTCTGAGAACTACCTCCCCACCAATGGGGGTAGGCCCCTTTGGCAATGTTGATAATAAGCAAAGCACCCCCTAAGTAAACCTGAGTAGCTCAGAGATAGGCACTAGACTAAGTTGGGCCAATCAAATTCTCTTTGGAGACTTGGAATATTATAAACACAGCTCACTTGGTTTCTAGAAATGAAATGGGCAGCTGAAAGGCCATCTTTTGTCAAGTGAAAACCATTGTCTAGAGAGGAGAGACAAGTGACCATGGGGACTCAGATGAAAAGTACAGCTGCATTGGTTCTTAAAGGCTTCCCTGGTTAGAGACTCAAGTAAAGTTGAGCTACATTTCTGCTCTAGGTTAAGAGAATTCTGCTCCCCGACCCATGTCCTAATAGTAAATTTTCCTTTTTGCTTAGGAAGTCTGAGTGGCTATGTGTCATCAGCAACCAAAAGATGTTTGATGAAGACAGTTTCAATCTAGTTTAAATTATTGGTTTTTTTAGAGAAAGGGGGGGAGGGCGGACATTGACATGAGAGAGAAACACTGATCACTTGCCTCCTGTATGTGCCCCGACCAGCGATCAAACCAGCAACCTTTTGGTGTACAGGACGATGTTCCAACCACTGAGCAACCCAGACAGGGTTACTCTTTCCTGACATTTTAATAAATATTGTCATTAGCTAAGCACAATATTAAGATATTTTCATTTCATAAAACAGTGGCATATCCCTTTAGGTCCTAGAGGGATATCTAATTTAACCCCTTCACTTTCGAGTAAGAAAACTAAAGCCCAACATGGCTGAGAACCTTGCCTTATGCTGGGACTACAATCTTGTTTCCGTCAGTACTCAGGGTCCTTTGTCAATAAACATTTTAAGGCCAAGATGGTATTCTCCTTTCTTTAAATTCCAAGTGAGAGCACTAAACAATATTTACTGATTGCCCAGCCAGTGTGGCTCAGTGGATTGAGCATCATCCCATGGACTGAGAGGTCTGAGTTGGATTCCTTGTCAGGGCACATGCCTGGGTTGCCAGCTCAATCCCCAGTGGGAGGTGTGCAGGAGGCAGCCAATTGATGTTTCTCTCTCACATCAATGTTCCTATCTCACTCTACCTCTTCACCTCTAGGAAAGACTTTGCACAAGGAGGGTCACCTATAGACTCACATCCTATCAGCTTAGATACCAGCAGTACATGCCAACTATCACTAGACTTCTCAGTTATGTGAATCAATAAATTCTTCTATTCCCTTAAGCTAATTCAAACTTGGTTTCTGTCACTTGCAACAAGTGTTCTGAAATGAAGCTTATCAAAGAGTTATCCTCAAATAAGGATAATGGTAACCAATTAGATTCTGTCTTCAAAACTTTGAATATAAGAGTAGGATGTATAAGCAGAAGCTGAAGGAACATGCAAAGAAGACAGCAATCCAGGTCACAATGAAAAGAAACTTACTATTAAAACACTATTGTGGCCTCTATTTCCTATTTTGAGTTTATTTGTGGCTTCAGCTTATTCTTGGTCCTACCAGCATCATGGCCTGGATTGCTGCATAATTTCCTAAACTTAGACTCTAAAACCCTCTTAGAAACGGCAAAAGGTAAATTGTCAGCAAAGCTTTCTAGGCTTTACACAGAACAAGAACAGGTTTCCTCTTCCAACCTGGTAAGGTTACTCACAGCATCCTAGGATCCAAAATAACTCATGTTGTAACTAATGTAATGACCACATTTGGGTCAGGATGTGGGCTTCCCTAAGGGAGGAGGCCCGACAAGACAACCAAGATCCTCTGCAACCAATTTCCTGGGTTCTCAAGTTACTCAACATCTCTGAGTCTCAATTCTTGTGGCAATAAAATGGGGAAAATCATTCATTTGGAATAAAAAAATGAAATATACATAAAAATCACTGGTATATGTTCACTACTCAGTGAATATTAGTTTCCTTTTCCTAAATTTTAATGTCATTTACTATACGAAGTATTACCCAATTATCTTCTTTTGCTCAAATGTCTTAAAATTTATACAATGGAATGGTATTATTCTACATATGACAAACAGACAAACAGTTTAAACAAACAAAAAAAAAAACAGATTTTTTTTAACCTAAAAAGTTTGCTAGTTTTTCAAATGTTTTTATTGGATTTAAAATTCACTTAAGGGATATACAGATATACAACTAGTTTGATCAGCTACTAATATATTTTGATAACCCTTTATTTTTATACTCAGGAGCCAGTTCACTTTTTCTCCATGTTCAATACTTAACTTTGGTGAAATTTTGCCCTGTTCCTCATCTATTACCGAAGCATTAGTGTTTCCACCCTGCTTGGTAAAAGTTGTTCTTTTAGTGTTCTTCCTGTGGGTATGTTTTGTAGGACTCTTCTGTTTTTTCTCAACTTCACTGCTTACATCCCACAACATTATCTTCCCATCATTCCCTCCAGTAAGCAGCAAATAAGATTCTGGCAGAAAGCAGACCTGGGATACCCCCATAGTGTGACCCTTAAATCCCAGTTCCTGTTCACACTTGATTCCCATCACCCTAAAGATTCTAACCTTACCATCTTCTGCACCACAACTAAAAATATTACCACACGATGCCACAGACACACAATGGGCTAGAGCAGGGTTTAAAAGCTGACCAGGTGACTGTGGGCTCTCCATTTCTTCTGTTTCATCTTCCTGTAAATTTGTAATCCAGAGTGGCCGGGCTTTCTGAAGATTCCACAGTATCACCTTTAAACAAAAGGAAGTCACATAGTCAAACAAAATTCTAGCCATCTTGCTCAACTACCATGCTTATTCTGCTTCTAATAAAATCATCAAAATAGTCTGAGATTGATTAATAGGATATATTTTCAGCAATATTAAGAAAAAATTTAGAGGGCACTACAACATGCCAGTGGAATGCTACTGTGGTGCCAAAACTAGAAGACCAATGGGCAGTAAGGTAGAATTTAGAAAACAAGATCCTGAATAACTTGTGATTAATAAACCCATTAAAGTGTAATCCAAATTCTTAAGCAGTTGCTAGTTTTCTTTAGGTCATTCTACCCTCATCTCTGCAAGTAAAATCAAAGATTATGAAACTTATTAATTTTAGTCTATGCTGGTTACAAGTAAAAATCCCTATCAACAAAATAAACCTAATCTGGAATATCACTGAAATCATTTGTCTGGAATATTTTCCTTCCCTTTTCTTTCCCTTTCCCATTACCCAAATTACCCATTCTAGGGACTTAGCTCAAGTCTCTGTCTCTTCAAGAAGGCTTTCCTAACTATTCCAGCATACTTCCCTTTTCCATATATTTAATTCCTATTTTAATACCTGACATATACTACTAGCTTGTCAGTTTCTTGAGGTTTAATTCATTTTTGATCATGCTTATACTAATAATGCCTGAAAAAGAGCAGAAATTTCAAACATATCTTGTTGATTAATTTGACATTCTGGTATATTTGGCATTTTGTTGTTGTTCTCTACCATGATCTCAGACTTACTAAATTTATTTAAACGAAATGTGAATTAAAATGAAACAATAAGCTTTGTGAATTGATTTTACTTTATAGGGGTTCATTTTCTTCTTGTGGTAACCAATTTGAAAAGGAAGGTATTTTTAATACTTTTAGAGAATATATAGCTTTATTTTACCATCTAGTATTATCTCTGAATTATGAGACTCAATTTTAAATGGACACTAGAATAAACAAGACCTTGTTTAGTTAGAAGCATAGATCTGAATTAACAAGATTACTACTGCTGATATCAAGAACTTGATTTTCTATTCAAGGTTAACTTCCATCAACTCAATCTACTTTCAAGTGAGTGAAATATAATAATACTTATATACAGCTTCTACTACTAGGAGAAGAACTGAAAATCCTTTTGGATTGGATTTATAACATTACACTAAGTGGCCAGCCATCACTATTGGGGTGAAGTCAACAGACTACTAACAAATTAAAGTAAAACAAAGAAATATCAGAAAAATATAACAAAAATGAATGAGTACTAAAACCTGATGTGCAAACAATCGCTCTAAAAAAAAACCCTGAACACAGGAAAACTCCAGAATCTCCTAGCTTAACTATATTGGCAGGTACCCACAAGTTCTTTCTCACAGAGCCCCCATAATACCTGGATTATATTTCTTGTCCTTCTGAGACATCCAAACATGAACTATACCCAAAGTGAAAGTGGTTTCGTTGTTGTTTTTAAATGTTTTTATTGATTTCAGAGAGGAAGGAAGAAGGATAGAAATGTCGATTGGTTGCCTCCTACACACCCTCTACTGGGGATTAAGCCTACAACCCAGGCATGTACCCTGACCAGGAACTGAACTGGTGACCTCCTGGTGCTTGGGCTGATGCTCAATTAACTAAGCCATACAGCCGGGCTATACTCAAGGTGTTTTCAGCAGCTTAAACATTTTTGTATTAATTAAATCATCTATATGTGTTAATAATAATTCTAGTTTCTAATTCAAGAATCATTTCCATGTATTAAAGATTCCCAAATTGTTCCTGCCTGGACATTCTCTTTATACTTCTTTCTTCTTACTAACTGGCAAAGACTCCAAGGTGTTTCACAATTTCTCAACACCTGTTCAAGCGGTATCACCTTAAGCAAGAGAGCAAGAGATAATGAAGAAAAAGAATACAAGAGTTTGGAAGTTATGGTCCTATTAAAGGGAGAGAAAGTAGACAACTGACCAATGTTTAGAAGTGAATGCAATCATATCAAAGTGACCCTGCTCAAAAATTTCTCCCTGTACCACACACACACACACAATTTCTCCCTCTACAAAAACATTTCTTTCCATATAAAAGATACATTTTTAAGAAAAAAAGGTCTCCTCCATTATCCTGATCTATAAATATTAATACTAATGATCTTTCAAACAAGAACAAACCTTGAACCATTTATTTTCAGGTGTGGATATTGGGGGGGTGGGATTGTGTATGCTGTAGAAATACATGAAGGTTTCAAATTTCCAAAGGTTTTTACAAGGAAAAAAAAATTTCAGTGGTGGGTACACAAGTGTTTATTTAATGTTATTTTTTATACCTTTACATATATTACAAATGTTATTTGTACCTATTTAATATAAAACTAAGTGGTCTCAAGTATCTTAATAAATCACAATTTGTTCTTAAGATCCCTCACTCTCAAGTCTATACTTTCAGGGATTATTTCTATCGTTTGTTACTAGAGAAGTTTCTCTAAATGTGTAGAGCACCTGAAACCATAAGGAGAAGTTTGTTCTCTCCTGAGTGTGAAGCCAGCTTTTGGTGTTTCTATTGTAACTGCTATTGTCCATTGATCATTCTCTTCCTTTGGGAGAAAAGGAGAGCACACAGTCTTGAGTGGTAAAAAAATAAACAAAATAAATCTCTGACTTGATGAGTAAACCTTATCTAATTGTTTAAACCTATTTAAATCAAAAGATACAATTTTTATAATTTCTATAATAACAAGGATAGGTGTGTTGAACATATTTACTGTGTGTGGCAGTAATTCAATTTCTTCCTTGAAATAAAATGCATTTGCTCAGAGAGAAATAACTCAAAATTAATCTGATAAGAATTATCTTCCACTATTATAACTACATTCTTGAATTCTCCCATAGGCTGGATATTCTTTTTTTTTTTAAATCCTCAACCGAGGACATTTTTCCATTTTTTGTTCAGATAGAGTGAGAGGGAGAAGGAGGGGGAGGGAGGGAGAAAGAGAGAAACAGCGACATGAAAGGGACACATCGAGTGACTGCCACCCGCACAACCAACCAGGGCCAGAGACAAACTGCAACCAAGGTACATGCCCTTAGCGGCAACTAACCCCTGGTCTCTCTGGACCGCAGGCGGACGCTCTAACTGCTGAGCCAAACCAGCCTGGGCAAGGCTGGATATTCTTAAAGTTTACAATAATAAACTGGATAATCAGGTTTTGAAAGGTAAATTATTAAAGAAATTATAGAGTTTCACCTTCAATTAGGAAATAATTTCTTAAAGGCAAGGTTGTATTCTCTTAGCTGCTATTGTTATTTCCTAACCTGGTGCAGAAGGTGATCTACAGTGAACTTTTAGCAATTTTTAGCAGTCAAGCAATTATCTAAGCCTTTTTTTCACAAAATAGTTGTTTCTTATACTGATCTCTAACAGTTGCCTGACACTAAAGCTTCCTGCCTAGACCTGGATGTAAAATGGTAAATTCTGGAAGCCCATTTCTTATCTAATCTAAAGAATACAGGTCATTTTGCAATATTGCCATGCCTAGTAGTTAAATAATGAACCAGTGACTGAAAACTGGTATAGCTTAAGGATGAAAGAATGACTAGTCAGAATCTGTACATTTGCCTACTTAAAACAGATATCCACCTGGTTGTGTAAGACTTTCTGCATAACCAAGTAGGCAGATTATCACCACTAGAGTAGAAAATTGTAGGTCTTAAAGGACTTGATCAGGACCTAGGAGTGGACAAGGAGTTTAGAGGTTATAGGGTCACTGTACCTGCTAAGTCTAGAATAATTTTAAATATCCACTTTTGATAGGATAATTCTTCATTGCTTAAGGACTGTCGCAGCATGGCAGGACATCTACTGATTCTGCCTATTAAATGCCAATAGCCTGAGAGGGGGAATGGCAGTCATAGTGGCAACAAAAACCAGCTTCACCTGTTTCTAAATTCTGAAAGGGTGGAGAGGATAGAGGAGGGAGTGGCAAAGATCACTGGCCAAGAAGGTGGAAAGACAAAACCTTTGATGCTATTAACAGAATCAAAGAGTCTCAGAAACTATATACAGTTGAGAAAGTAGATAAAAATGCCTAGAATAGTGTTGGGCATGTAGTTCATTTAATAAACAATGTTTTTTTCTGGAAGTCACCTGTTCCCAAACCAAGATCCTTTTCTACCATATTATTAGTAATATTCTGCTTGAAACATCATGCAGAAGAAATACAGGCTTTGGAGCTAGAGAGATGGCAGTTTGAATCCCAATTCAGGCAGATGTGCAAACACTAAATTTGAATTTGTTTTCTCATGTATAGAAAAGAATAATTATCTAGCAGAGAATAATTAGAATGAAAACTAATATATGTAAAGCACTGGAAAGTACTAAGTGCTCACCAAAAAGAAGCCATGATTATTCTTACTCCAGTGAAGCAAGGTTTACTTTCAAGAGGAAACACATCTGCTGTGGGAAAGTTCAAGCTATTTGAAAGTATTCTTTTATTAAACCAAAACCTGCTTCCCTATGACTTCTACTTACACCAGCATATTCCACCTTTCCCCCTCATGAAAACCAAAATTTAAACACCTCCAGTTCCCCACATAATGGTTTCTAGATATACCTATTCTCCTGATGGCCTTCCTCTGAATTTGAGCTAATTTGTGATGTTCCTTCCAAAACTCAGCATTAATATAATGCTCTGATCCTGGTTACCAATATATAATATCTCAATTAATACACCACAGAATTTTAAAGTAATAACAACAGATCCAGTCCCTCCAACTTTTCTTTTTTAAACAACACAGTTTGTAGAAAGTGGGTGATGAACACTGCCTTCGGCATGCCCCTTTGTTTAAACATATGTTTAGAATCAAATATTTGAATTCTTATGTTTTAAAACATAGAGAAAAGAAGACTGAAGGATTAATGATTGCTTTGTGAATAAAATCTAACAGGTTTGTCAAGTTAGCATGAAATATGCATTAGAAATAAAGCTTATGGTTCATAAATAGATGTTAGTAGAGAAAAAATTCAGAGATATATTTAATCCGATCAACACTTTCTGTTAGCAAATCCCATTTAGAAATTACCCAAGTACTCTTTGCAAAGCATCACCTGCATATCCAGTCCACATGACACTAGGCTCTGAGGTCTTTGAGGCCGAAAAGCCACAGAAGAACAGATATTGGAATGTCTCTTCAGTGATCTGCTAACTTTCTTATTTTCCAAGTCTAGAATTTTTATTGCTCCAGAGTCATCAGCAGAAGCCAGCAGATTTTCAGTTTCATTCAATGAAAGGCAATTGATTTCTTCTTCATTCACATGAAAATGGTCCAGGGAACCTTTGAGGGATCTGACATCCAATATGCTAATGGTTTCTCCATGAGAGGCATAGAGCTTAGTGGGGCAGGAGGGAGAGAATAAGACACTGGTAACATCTTCAGCTCCTTGAAAGCGTGTGTGTCCTAATAGAGTCCCATCTTCACCCCAAGCCATGAGATCTCCACCCTCTGCTCCAGAAGCCACTAGCCCTTCTGAACTCGCATTCAGGCAGAGAATAGGAGAAGAATGTCCACCAGTCCACTTGACAGCCATAATGGCCCAGGCAACTCTGTGAAAAAGGAAAAAAACTATATCATGTTTTACTTAGGAACTTGATGGTAGGAGACAAATGCAATAAGTAATATTTCATTTAAATATTTCTAAAAAGACATCTAAAAAACTCAACAACAAAAACAGACATTTGAAGATCAAGTCTACAAAAGCCTAGCTGAACCTAGAGTTGTGGCGCACCAGGCTGGAACATGCTCAAATGGGCTTCCTTTGTAATCAGGGATCCAGGTAAGCCTGGTTCTCCAGCCTTTGATATGAGGCTCACATAAGAATAAACACTAAATATATTTATTTTAAATTAGGAAAAATTCTTCTTCTTTTTTTTTAATCCTCACCCGAGGATATTTTTTCCATTTATCTTTAGATAGAGTGGAAGGAAGAAGGGGAAGGAGGGAGGGAAGGAGAGAAACATCATTGTGAGAGAGACACATTGATTGGTTGCCTCCCCATGACCTCGACCAGGGCCAGGGACGAACCAGAACCGAGGTACGTGCCCCTGGCCCAAACTGAACCTGCCACTCTTTGGTCTGCAGGCTGACGATCTAACCACTGAGCCAAACCAGTCAGGGCAGGAAAAATTCTTTTTAAGAGAGTGCTACACAATCATCAGGTTATACCTTTTTTTTTTCTTAAGTATTTTTTTCTTTATTAAATTTAGAGAGAGAGGAAGGGAGAGGGAAACAGAAACAATGATGAGAGAGAACATCGATTGGCTGCCTCCTGCACACTCCCCCACTGGGGATCAGGTCCACAACCTGGGCATGCGCCCTGACCTGGAATCGAACCGGCAACCTCTTGGTGCATGGGTAGACGCTCAACCAGTGAACCACACTGGCTGGGCATCAGGTTATATCTTTTATCAGAATAATGTCTTAGAGGGTGAGTTCCGAATCTAGAACTAGAGTCTCTGGGTTTGAATAGTTCTACCTATTAGCTGGGTGACTTTGCGCAAGTTACTGAATCTCCTCTCTGTGACTCATTTTCCTTCTCTATAAAATGAGGATAATGATAATAATCATAACACTCATTTCATAGAATCAGAGGGAATTAAATGAGGTAATATATGTAAAGCACATATAATAGTGCCTGATACATAATGAGTACTCAACAAATATTACTATTATCCCTTTTCTCAATCAGCTGATCAAAGTGGCATCATATATATTATACCAATGTTCCTCAAAGTATGGCCTCCAGACTAGCAGCATCAGCAGCACCTAGGAACTTGTTGGAAATATAAATTGACAGACCTTGCCTTAGACCCACTGAATCACAAACTAAAGTTGGGGCCCAGCAATGTGTTTTAACAATCCCCACCCCTCCACCTGGTGATTCTGATGCATGCTAGAATTTGAGAACCTGTACTACACCAATAATCATTTGGGAAGCTGGTTAGAAATGCAGACCCTTAGGTCTCAGTACCAGAGACTAAATCAGTACGTTATTTACTTTTATTCTTTTTTTTTTTTTTTTATCTTTGTTGAATGTATTACAGATGTTCCTCATTTTTCCCCATTGACCCCCTCCTCCCCACTCCCGCCCCCCTCCTGCCTTTTCTCACACTGTTGTCTGTGTCCATTGGTTATGCATATAAGTTCTTTGGTTTATTTCTTCCCACCCCTCAACCCTCTTCTCTTTGAGGTTTGTCAATCTAGCAACCAATTTGTTCTTCTTGATCCCTTTACCTTTTCCACCCTTTGCCCCAACCCCCCTCCCATCTGGCAACCAACAAAATGTTCTCTGTATCTATGAAAATGTTTCTGTTCTTCCTGTTCATTTTGTTTGTAGATTCCAAACAGATATGTATTCATTGCCACTTTGTTTGTTCATATATTTTATCTTTTTCTTCAAAAAGACCGTTCAACATTTCATATAACAGTTTGGTGGTGATGAACTCCTTTAACTTTTTCTTGTCTGGAAAACTCTATATATGGCCATCAATTCTAAATAACAGCTTTGTAGGATAGAGTAATCTTGGTTGTAGGTTCTTACTTTTCATCACTCTGAATATTTCTTGCCACTTCTTTCTGGCCTGCAAAGTTTCTTTTGAGAAATCAGCTGACAGTCTTATGGGAACTCCCTTGTAGGTAACTAACTGCTTTTCTCTTGCTGCTTTTAAGATTCTCTTTGTCTTGAACCTTTTGCATTTTGATGATGATGTGTCTTGGTGTGGCCTCTTGGGGTTCATCTTGTTTGGGACTCTCTGTGCTTCCTGGACTTGTATGTCTGTTTCCTTCACCAAGTTAGAGAAGTTTTCTGCCATTATTATTTCAAATACGTTTTCGATTTCTTGTTCTCTCTCTTCTCCTTCTGGCATCCCCAAAATGCGAATGTTGGCACGCTTGAAGTTGTCCCAGAGGCTCCTTACACTATCCTCATTTTTTGGATTCTTTTTTTCTTTTTGCTGTTCTGATTGGGTGTGTTTTGCTTCCTTATATTCCAAATCAATGGTTTGCTTCTTGGATTTACGTACTCTACTATTGAAGCTGTTTAAATTATTCTTTATTTCAGTTAAAGCCTCCTTCGTTTCTAACTGTGCCTCGATCATTTCTGACTGGTCCTTTTTTATGCTCCTGAGGCCCTCACTAAGTTCACTGAGCATCCTTATAAGCAGTATTTTGAACTCAGCATCTGTTAGGTTGCTTATCTCCATTTCGCTTAGTTCTTTTATTGGGGTTTTGTTCTGTTCTTTCATTTGGAACCTGTTTGTCTCCTCATTTTGGCTGCCTCCCTGTGTTTGTTTCTGTGTATTAGTTAACGAGACGTATGGGGCTATCTGAGACCAGATGTTGCTCGTTTGAAAGAATTTAGGAAAACCTGAAGCAGGATCCAAGACAGGCCAATCCTATGGTGAAGCAACTGGCAACAGCTTGGGTGGGCCTGAAAGTTGGGTGGGGCGGGGCCTCAGGGAGTCACCAGGGCGGGGCTACCAGTGTGAGCCAGATTGCTGGAGTCCCAGATATGGTGGCTGTCTGCCGCCCCAGGAAAGGGCTCACCAAAGGAACAAAGGCCTCTGACAGCACGTTTGTCCCAGAAAAAGCCCCCTCTCCAGCCCTCGCTCCAGTACCAAACAGCTCAGTTCTTCCCTGTATGTCTCTGGTGCCCCTCGAGCTGCCTCCCCTCTGAGCTTAGAGGGAGAGAGTCCCATAAGTCCTTGTATGGGCCCTTTAAGGAGCTGCCTGGGGCTCCAGCTGTGTCAGCTTCCCTGAGCCTCAGTTTCCGGGGGTTTTTCCAGCCAGAAGTTATGGGGACTTCTCTTCCTGGCACTGGAACCCTGAGCGGGGCACCTGGTGTGGGACAGGGACCCCTCAGTCCTCAGGGAGGACCTTCCCAGTCGAGGTGTCCTCCTGATTTTTATCGGCCACACATGGGTGTGGGACCAGCCTGTAGGCCTCCGCCCCTCCTACCAGTCTGGATGTGGCTGCTGCTTTAATTCCGTAGTTGTAGGACTTCCATTCAGCTTGATTTCAGGCGGTTTTGAATGATGGTTGTTCAGTAGTTCAGTTGTAACTTTGATGTGGTTGTGGGAGGACGCGGTATGTTTACCTACATCGCCATCTTGACCGGAAGTCTCTACTTTTATTCTTAAAACAATGCCTCTGATTGGTATTATTCCATTTTACAGATAATAAAACTGAGTCTCAGAAATATTCAATAATTTTCCCAAAGTCTCCTGAAGCTTAGGATTTGTACAGGGACCCAATATAAAGGATACCAAACTTTTAAATAATGAAGACCAGGCCCTGGCCAGGTAGTTCAGTTGGTTAGAGCTTTATCCCGATAAGCCAAGGTTGTGAGTTAGATCCCTGGTCAGAGCACATACAAGAATCAACCAATGAATGCACAACTGAGTGGAACAACAATTTGATGTTTCTCTCTCTCCTTCTCTCTAAAATGAATAAAAATTGTAAAAAAATTTAGAAATTTAACTTTAAAAAAACTTTCTAACAATTCCACTTGACAACAGTTTTACTCGTTAGTATTCTTTAAAGTACAGAAAATGACTAAAAGCTACAAATAATTCATTACTGCTTTAAAATGTACTCACAAAATTTTAACCACATTGTCACTCACCTATTTGCACTTATACAATAATAGTACTTACATACAAAATTTAGATTCCTGATATGCTAGGCAATCCAGACCTATATACTATAATTGCCACATACTTCTCTGCTGTAACTACCTGTGAGCAAAGCAAAAAAGGAAACCAGGGCAATGTATACATCTCTAATGATCAGACAAACAAATCTGGGCAAATTTAATTTTTTATTTCACAAGCCAAGGGAGAATTTACCTAGCGAAAAACTGCCATTAGTTGCTTTACTATTTTCAGGTTCGACACCTGGATTTTGTCCAATGGTATAGAGATAAATTTCCTAATATTGTTTTGAAAAATCATTTAAAATAACCTGACAATCTACCTAAAGTTTCTATTCTCAACACAATGCTTATTCCTGCATAATTTTAGTCACACACACACAAATCACTAACTAGTCTGCAAAAAACCACTAATCTGTTAGTAATCAAAGTTAACAGAAACATCACAAAATCATATAAAGCAATTTTCATAAAGATAACAAAATGGAAAAAGACAAAAAGATGCATTTTTTAAAAATCTCAGTGGAAGCACTCAATTAATATACAGAGAAACTAATTAAATAGAGACTGAAGCAAATAAGTTTTAATGGAGAGGTTTGGAGAGGAAATGACTCAAAGGTAAAGATAGTGAACCCTGGGTGGTTTGATTTTTGCTGACAATTACTGAAATACCAGTTAAATAATTTTCTACCATAACAAAGGCTCTTGCCCAACGTTCCCGATAAACCAGAGAAAAGGACACTTAGCATAATTAAAAGGAAACAACATTATTTAGGCTTAGGAACAGTTGTCTGTGGTGACTATTAACTTATCATAAAGATAATATCCTACCTTAAAATATGAAATTTGAATTAGCCATTGAAGAGGCTATTTAAATAACAAATAATTGTGTTGAAAATTCTGTAGTGAATCTTTAGGGTATTGGTCTTTTATTTCCCAAGTTAGAGTTTTACTTTTTCTATGGTGTATTAATGCTCAAGTCTAGAAATCTGCCCTCTACAGCTTTAGGACCTGTGCTGGGATCTTAGGTTTTCTCTAAGATAAGAATGAGGAAGTGTTTCTCACAAGGGACCTAAACAAATGCTAACTTTAGCAGGTTTTCTTCCTAATTCAATTCTTTTGTGGAAAAGATCAATTCAATTTGAAAAATACATTTGGTTAAGCTACATGTCAAAGTGTGAGGTCAGGCAATGCAATAAATGGATTTTGTATTAAAGGGACAATTGCAGATAACAACGTACAGTAGTTCCTATAAATTTTTCCATAATAGAACCAGTAGTAAAGCTCAGTCTATTAATCTTGTAAAACCAAGGTCAGCTATATCTTAACTTCTATGCACCAGAGTAAAAAAAATAATAATAATTAAACTTCTAATCTCTATATCTCATGGATATTTACTGATTACCTAGCTAGTTAGAAAAACAAAGAGAGAGACCTAATACAATGAATGTTAATAAACGAGTTGGGAAAGCCCCTGAAATCCATACACTGAGGGTTTTTATTTTAGTCAATCAACATTTTCATGCAGAGTATTGGTCTATGATTCAACCAGGGTCCTTGAAATTGCTTTACTTAGTCTGCAAGATTAAAATTTGTTATTTGAAACACACCGAAAGACCATCAAAAAGTGTTTAACAATCAGACTGCTGTGGTAAAAAAAAATGTAATTAAATCTGTGTTAAATAAAAACAATCTTTCAGAAATAAATTGTTAAGCTACTGTTTCTTATTTTTCTTTTATGGGGATTGGAAAGTCCACCAGAAATAGGCAAGTGCTACTATCCCCACATTCAGGTTTCAAGTCAACAAACTTCTCATACACAGATACCTAAAGGATCAAGCAGAACAATTAATCATATCCTATTGTGAATTACTTTAATTAGATAATAGATTCCTTCCAACACCTAATGACATCATAGGGTGGATGCGGAAAGGTGGGGTATTTTGACAGCATTTTTAGAAAGGGTGGAGTGCAACAGCTGGCAGTTCAGAACGGCCAGAGAGAATGATACTTAACATGAGGGATGGGACATAGTCAGGAGAGTGATGAGCAGGTGAAAGATTTGTATAAAGAAAAGAAAATATTTTCCTACTTTGAAATTCTGCCTGGGCCACTTAGGGGGTACTCTGCCACAAAAAGTCACTTCATTGACTGGACTAGATTAGCACCAGAATTGTCTGAATCCCTGAAAGACTCTACCTCACCTACACTGTGAAAGACAGAATAAATAAATATATATATATATATATATATTTTTGTGTGTGTGTGTGTGTGTGTGTGGTACATGCCCCTAGCAAGAAGCAAACCCGGGACTCTCTGGTCCACAGGCCGATGCTCAACCGCTGAGCCAGACTGGCCAGAGCAGGCCAATATTTTTATTTTTTTGCTTTATTGATTTTAGAGAGAGAGGAAGGGAGAGGGAGAGAAAGATAAACATCGATGAGAGAGAACATAGATTGGCCACCTCCTGCATGCCCCCCATTGGGGATTTTGCCCACAACCTGGGCATGTGCCCTGACCGGGACCCAGGCAAATGTTGGTTTTCCTTCCTTGGATGTCCTATGGTTAAAAGCTCAAAAATAAATAAAACTCTGTAGACTGAGGTTATACTACTACATAGTCATTATTGCTGTAATAAGTATAGGTCAACTTCACATGTTTGGGTTTCCAAAGTTGGTCTTGATGTGGAGAAGCTGGATAGCAACCAAAGTGACTAAAGGGCTGTGCCAAAGGCACTAGCAAGAATGAAAAAAATCTAGGTTACTAAGGTGTTGGGGGAGGTGATACAAACAAATACTGGGAAGAAGGGAACGCAAGCAGTTCCTGTTCTTTTATTTTTACTGGCGGATAAGAAATGGATTATACACAGCAAGGGAGTTTCTGGAAAGATTTCTTACTACATACAGGCAAGACAATGGAGTGGACTACTAAAGGAATCTATTACTGTTGTTATTATTATTACTCATAGAGTTATTTGAGAATTATATAAAAACCCGCGTCAAGAATCCTAGTATAGTGTCTGGCTCACATGATACTTATTATTTTCTCTTACTAAATAATCTTTAAAGGCTGTCAGAAAACTTTTTGGAAAGTTTTTCAACTAAGAAAACATAAGATGACCTAATAATGCTGAAGTTCTTTCCCTTCCAAGAAGCCACCTAAATAGTGTCTCCACGTCATTCTCCCCGTTGGGATATCTAATTAAATAAAATAAAAACACACTGCCTTAATCCGCCTACTAATCAATAGTTGAATTTGTAGAGAAGCCTGGGAAAGTCTATACTTCGACCGAAAGAATGTAGCGCTTAATTAGGTTACCCAAAGCCCAGGAGCAGGAGGGCGGGCGTTCAAACGCAGCGACCTTGCTTTCCGAATACACGCTGGGACACGCGTTCCGATAACTACTGGTACTCCGGGAAAACGAGAAGGCCTACCCAGGGAAAGACGACTTAGCTGCCGAAGGTAAAGAAACAAGATCCAACTCAGCCGAAGGCGGCGGAGCTAGGGATTGGCTAGCAGAGAAAGAGAAGTTTCACGCGCTGGGTTGGAGTCTGAAGCAGAGACCTCGCTGACACAGGCAAACTTAACAAGAAGAGAGGCCCAGGAAAGTCAACATGGGACCCCTAGACCAAAAATAGGAAAAGGCACCTTAGGCCAGCAGCGAGGCTCCCGACGCCGAACTCCTACCTGCTCTTCCCGCTCCCCTCCTCGGCGCCTCGTGATGACCTCACCCACCGGCGCCCAATCCCATGCAGCGTAGGGCGCGAGGCGCCTCAGCCAAACTGTCACATCCGGGGCCGAGAGGAACCGCGAGCGAGCGGGGCGTGCGCCCTTGCTTCGTGCCCTTAACCTGCATGGCGTAGCCACCGGCGCGATTCGGGGAGGCCGTGCGACTCGGGCGGTTCCGGCGCCCGCGCTGAACCGCGGGGGAGGGGCGGGGGACGCCTGTGCGGCGGGTGCGTTTGCCCTCAGTGAGGCGGGGCGCGCGGCAGACGCCCCCGGGCAGGGGCGGGAGTGGCGGAGGGGCCGGACGGTTGGCTGTGAAAGGGGCGGTGAGCTCTGCTCCGGTTACTAGGCGAGGCTTGGCCTCCCCAGCAGAGACGGGGGGAAGCGACGGCGGTGGCGGCGGCCCTAGGGCCGGCTGGTGAGGCGATGGCGGCGCCGGCCCCTGGGGCTGGGGCAGCCTCGGGCGGCGCTGGCTGTAGTGGCGGCGGTGGCGCGGGCGCCGGCTCGGGCTCTGGGTCCGCGGGGGCCGGGGGCCGGCTGCCCAGCCGGGTGCTGGAGTTGGTGTTCTCCTACCTGGAGCTGTCCGAGCTGCGGAGCTGCGCCCTGGTGTGCAAGCACTGGTACCGCTGCCTGCACGGCGATGAGAACAGCGAGGTGTGGCGGAGCCTGTGCGCCCGAAGCCTGGCAGAAGAGGCTCTGCGCACGGACATCCTCTGCAACCTGCCCAGCTACAAGGCCAAGGTGAGGGAGCCCAGGGCCACGCCGCTACCCCCAGCCCCGCTCCTGCGCACCGCTCTCTGCTTCTCATCTAAGCTTCTGAGCCAGACGCCTCGCTTCACCATCCCGCCTTGCCAGTGCACCAGTCAGTACCTTACCTCCCCTCCCCTCTCCATGAACCTCTCTTTGGATTGAAGTTCTGCTTCTTAACCCACCCCACCTCCCGTGGTACACTTTTAAAGGATCAGATGGTTTCGTTTCCATCACTCATTCTACTTTCCACAAGTCTTTCCTTTTAAAGACAGACCACCCCTATTGTTGTACCTTCGATACTCTCATCTTATTTTTCTCTGTGCTCTCCAAGTAGGTTTTATTAGATTTTCCTGCTGCCTTAACATCGGCTTTCACCCCCACACATACCTAATCTTTTCCAAGCGCTGATTTATAATCATTTTTTCCTTTAATTTCACCGAGGTTCCCTTTAATTCTTTCCACTATGTTTCAGGCTTGTGAGTGAGTGTGGTCCTAGACATCCTGCTAACTTTCAAGATACCCATCATAATACTACTGCCTTGTACCACTATTATTGGCTACTTCCTTGCCAACTTTTCCTAATTCCACCTTGATGGCGTGTCTCCTCTGTTCTATTGATCATAGAATTCCGGTTTTGTTGCCCCCCCCCCCCTTTTTTTTTTCTTTCCCTAGCTTCTTGCGCATATCCCTGCCTTCTTCATTTGTAAATAACATTTCAAGTAACAGGTATAGTAGTGCTAAGAGGCAATATAATCAAAAGGCCTGGAGCTTCATTTCAGTTGGGTGGGTCACAGCTATTCAGTATGGCTTTTACTAGGAGCAAATATGAGAGAAGATACAGTCTGACTTAAAATGTGGTAAACATTAAAAAAAGCATTAATAACTAAAAAGGGAAAACATTGTTTAATGCTAGACTGCCAATGGGTGTCAGAATAAGAAGTAAACTTTTTTTCCTGTGTAAAATTTATTCTTCTATAATAAAGCAGGTTTTAGTTTAATAAGATAAGGAAGGAATATTGCTGTTAAATATGATCTGTCAGGTTGTTTTCCTACTAAGTGAAATAACATTAATTTACGATGACTACATTTGTATATGGTATAAATGTACAGTGGATACTAGTTGTAATTTATATAGTAGAGTGTGGAAGATTGCAATTTTTGTTCTACTTTACCTGATCAATGTGTAGGCTTCATAAGTTTTACTTTTCTATAAAGTTTACTATTTTTACTTATGATAAATTATAACATTAGTCTGTGCCACTGGCCCATAGATATGGTCCATATGACTCAAGATTCATATAATATGTAATAGATATTGTGTTCATGTGAGTCAACATTGAAAAGAAGCAGAGTGTCTTCCATTATTAATTATTGATTTTAGAGAAAGGAAGGGAGAAAGAGAGAAATATGCATGTGAGAGAGAAACATTGATCAATTGCCTCCTGCAACCTGAGTATGTGCCCTGACTGGGAATCGAACCTGCCACCTTTTGGTATACCGGTCAGTGCTCCAACCACCGGAGCCACACTGGCCAGGGACAAAATGTCTTTCTTTTGCCTTTGTCCCCATGCCACCCAGTTTCCCGTCTTGGAGGCAACCTGTGTTACCTATTTCTTTTGTATCCCTCCCTAGATAATTTAGGTTTCTTACGTTTTTAATATCTGGCATGTTTTCCTACTACGTACACTCTAAGTATTGTAGACTTGTGCTAACATGTTCATTCAGATGTTGGAGGACATTTCTTAAATATCTTGTGGATAAAAAATTAAATCAAGCCTGGCTGGTGTGGTGTAATGGTTGAGCGTCAACCCATGCACCAAGAGGTCGCTGGTTTAGTTCCCTGTCAGAGCACATGCCCAGGTTGTGGGCCTGATCCCCAGTGGGGAGGCAGGCAGGGACAGCCAATCAGTGTTCTCTCTCTCTCTCCCTTTTTCTTTCTGAAAATCAATAAATAAAAAATATTTTTTAAAAATTAATTCAAAAGTCAGATAGTCTAGAAAGGAAGCCCTCAGTCTAATAGAGGAGAAAAAAATGTATAGAAATAACTAACAAATAGTAGAAATTGCTTATGTTAGAGATATTTTTTTAAAAAGCATACTAGAAGTTCAGTGAAAGGAGAGATTTACAAATTGAGTGGAGGACTGGAGAAGATTTGAAGTTGAGATTTGAGCTGAATTTTAAAGATGGGAAGGATTTGAATGTTTTACTAAGAGGAAATACTCTGAACAACAGCAGGACAAGGGGAAAGCAAAGGCCTTGTACAACTTATTCTATATTTTTATTTTAAAAAATATGAGTGCCAGGCACTGCTCAGTTTTATAGATGGAATGGTGAATAAAAAGAGACAGAAACTCTATGGATGCCTTGCTTTACAATCTAGTAGGGGAAAATGGATAGTAATTAAATAATCACACAGTTGTAAAATTGCATCTGTGATAAGAAGAGATACAGGTGCTCTGAGTGTCCGTAATGGAGAATTTGACCTAGGTAGGAAAGTCAGGGAAGGCCTTCTCTAAAGAAATAATGATAAACTGAGACCTGAAGGATAAGTAGGCCAAGGGGTGAGAGAAGAGCCTTCTAGGAGGTAACCTGCTGAGTATGAGGGACAGAAAATACATCAGTGTGGCTAGAGCATAGGGAGCAAAAGTAAGACAGGTTTGAGATAAGATGGAAGAGGTGAACTGGGACCAAACTATAGGAAAGCCATTTTTTGTTGTGTTTTTTATTAATCCTCTCCTCGGTGGGGATCGAACCTGCAACCCAGGTACCTGCCCTTGACTGGGAATCGAACCCACAACCCTTTGGTTCTTGGGTGGAGGCTCTAACCCAGTTGTTCTCAACCTGTGGGTCACAACCCCTTTGGGGGTTGAACGCCCTTTCACAGGGGTCACCTAAGACCATTGGAAAACATATATCTCCGATGGTCCTAGGAACCGAGACACGGCTCCTCTATCTGTCTCCAGGTGGGTCCACACACTTGCATATACGCCCACAATACAACATGAGGAACTGTATTAAAGGGTTGCGGCATTAGGAAGGTAGAGTCTAACCACTGAGCCAAATGGGCATTGGAAATATGATTAGTTTACATTTTTTTAAGAGGTTATTTCTAACTTCAGTATGGAGCATAGGTTGTAGGGGAACCTTAGAAATATAGGTAGATTAATGAGGATGTAGGTAGTGCAGCAGATGAGAGATTTAGGAAATAAAATCTATAGAACTTGGCAGTAGATGTGAATTAGGGTTAAGGAAGAGGGAGGTGCTAAAGATGACTCCTAGGTATCTGGCCTACATAATATAGGGATCACCTGGGCTAGATTTACAAGACTAACAATGAGTTCAGTCTGGGTAGAATAGAATTGACAGTGTTTTTGAGATATCCAAGAGGTTCACATAGGCAACTGTTATAGTTTAGAGCTTAGAAGAGAGAGTTAAATATAAGATAGTTTAATTTGATTGAATTAAAGTAGTAGGAAACATGATTGTAAAGGTAAGCTGAAACTAGATATATCATGGAGGTCCTTCAGATACCGCCTTTAGTCTATAGTTTGTTTGGGCTTTGTTCTGTAGTTGGAAACCACAGATGTTTAACAGAGGAGTGACAAAAGAAGAGCTGTGCTTTAGAAAAACTTGGCCTCTGGTTAGTGACTATTCCAGAGGGTACTTAAGACAAATACAAATGTATAGAACAAATGTATGAACAAGTGTGTAAAGGAGAGAAAGGGGTGGTTGGGAGAGAGATTGCAGAGAACAAATGCACATAGATGGACAGCTACCTGACTGGCTGAGTAGTGAGATGTGGAAGAAGGAAGAATCAGGATTTCCAGGGAGCCTACCTAGGTAACTGAGAGAAGGGTGGGGTAGCATAAAACTGGAAAGTATTTGGAGTTGTCCATCTACTTAGGATTTGTCTTTTTCAAAGTTGATATTTTCCATGTCACCTAATAGCATCAGTTGTTCCTAATAGATAATCAAATAATTTACCCTGTAGTTTCCCTTGGTCTGAATTTTGTGGATTTCATTCCCATGGTGTTACTTACATGCTTTTCTGTCCTAGCTATTTCCTATAGAAGTTGTTTGATCAATTTAGGTTAGATTTTAAACTTGCAAGATATTTTTTACTAAAATCAAGTGGTTGGGATGTGTTCAGAATTGTGTTGTACAATATAGACTATGGTGGGTAGCAGTTCTAGAGAGTAAAGTTAGGGAGATTGGGTGATCCCAGTTAAGAATAGCTTTGTGCTCTGGCCATTTGGCTCAGTGGTTGGAGCATCGGCCTGCGGACCAGAGAGTCCCGGGTTCAGTACTTGCTAGGGGCACATACCAAAATAAAACAAAAAACCTTTGTGATCGCCCTGGCCAGTGTGGCTCAGTGATTAGAATGTCAGACCTTGCACAGAAGGTTCTCAAGTTCTATTCCTTGTCAAGGGCATGTACCTGGGTTGCAGGTTTGGTCCCCTGGCCCCGGTTGGGGCGAGTGTGGGAGGCAACCAATGGATATGTCTCTCTCACATAGATGTTTCTCGTTCTCTTTCCCCCAACCTCCCTCCCTCCCTTCCACTCTCTCTCTAAAAAAAAAAAAAAAAAGTGGAAAAAATATCCTCCACTGAGGATTAACAACAACAACAAAAAAGAATAGCTTCATCAAGGTGGTACGATTAGAGGTGGTCTTAGGGAATATGTGGGAGGAGGAAAGCAGGTATAATACTATACACACAAGGAGAATTAACACAAAGGGAAATAGGAGGGACCAGATCTGGAGGGCTTTGAAAGCCAGAGAGAAGAATTTATAGTTGATGTGGTCGTCAATATAAAACTATCAAAGGTTATTGAACTGGGATGAGATGTAAAAAAGATGTTATTTTAGAAAGACAAGTTCTAGAAAGAATTAAGGTAGAGGGTTAAGGACATAGGCTGGAGAGTTTGGGAGGGGTAGGGTGGTCACCAAAAATATTACAGTGAAGGATCAGTCCAGGGTAATAGGAAAATGTCATAGAATTTTCAGGAAGAGGTTGTCAACAGTGTCAGTGTGATGAAGTGAACAAGGATAGATAAAAAGCCATTGGTATTGCCCTGGCCATTTTGGCTCAGCAGTTAGAGCGTCGGCCTGTGGTCCAGAGAGACCCGGGTTCGGTTCCCGCTAAGGGCATGTGCCTCCATTGCAGTTTTTCACCGGCCCTGGTTGGTCGTGCAGGTGGCAGCCACCCGATGTGTCCCTTTCATGTCAATGTTTCTCTCTCTTCTTTCTCCTTATCACTCTATCTGAACAAAAAATGGAAAAATGTCCTCGGGTGAGGATAAAAAAAAAGCCATTGGTATTTATAAGAATTAGGGATAGGTATAGATGAGTATTAATTAAATGTTTTATAATGAGGAGTTAATTGTCTTGATAGTAATCTCGTGAGTTATTTGGGCAATACTCAATATTTTGAGCATGTTTTACACCATTAATCATCCTGTTCTGATCTTTCAGGTGCTCAAAAGTGTATTGTAAATAGGAACATATAGGAAAAAAAATAGAAATTCTTCAGTTTTACAGCCTCAGTGCAAACATGGGCTATCTGAAAAAAGCAAGTTTGCTTGTTTGCTTTTTATTAAATCTCTCTGCTTTGGAGTACAACAGTAATACTGTGAAGTACTGGCTAATAGTGAATGAACAGTGGATGAGAGGCTTGGATACCTGACTTCTCTTTGGAGTTCTTTCTCTAATTAGCTATTTACTTTCATTTAATTAATTAATTTTTATATTTAATTTTTTAAAAATCCTCACCCAAGGATATGCCCCCACTGATTTTAGAGAGAAGGAGAGAAACATCAATGTGAGAGAGAAACATCTATCAGTTACCTCCAGAATGCACCTCAACTGGGGATTGAACCCACAACCTGGGTATGTACCCCAGCAGGGAATTAAGCCTGCGATCCAATCAACCAGCTGAATTACACTGGCCAGGGCATCTAATTAGCTATTGACTTTTAGTTCTGTGTCCTTGTCCCTGATGAGGACTAGGTGACCTTTAAAGTCCTTCCTAATACCGAAATACTGATTCTGGAGTTGATTTCTCAGGTTAACTAAAGCAGTAAGTCCCACCCTTTAGCTGCTTTTGGGTAGTGTGAATAAAGTAAGAAATTTAAAGAAAGAAAGAAAAGAAAACAAACCCTGACCGGTTTGGCTCAGCCATTATAGCATTAACTCTTGGACTGAAGGGTCTCGGGTTCGATTCTCGTTCAAGGGCATGTACTTGGGTTGCAAGTTCACTGCCCCAGTCTGGGTCATGCAGGAGGCAACCAGTTGATGTGTGTCTCTCATATCGATGTTTCTCTCTTTCTTTCTCTCCCTCCTCCCTTCCATTCTATCTGAAAATCAATGGAAAAATATACTAGGGTGAGGATTAACAACAACAACAAAATACAAGACAAATGCTTTAAATTATTAAACCATGAATAATTGTTAGTATTTGTACAGAGTAGCAATTTACTTAAAAAACCTGATAATTACTGCAAGTCAACTAACCTTTCCTATCAGTGGTAGCTGTTCTTAATGGTTATCTCTTTATAAATTCTAGTGGTTGAATTTAGATGCTATCTAGCGGATTATTTGATTTGGTAAAATGAGAGTGGTGCTGTTTCAGTCTATGAGTAATACCTCGCAAGGAGGCTGAAGATCTAAGATTGTTTGTGGTTATTAAAATTTTTCTTAAACTTTAGAGCTGCTATGACTAAGCTCTTTATTTTACTTAAAATAGTCTTTTTGTTGACAGGATTGCCAGCATGAAAACTTTTCACCTCTTAACTTTTTGATATCAAAATATTGACTGTAGAGTAAAGTTTAATGAATCTCCCTATACCTATCACCAAGCTTTATCAATGATTAAAACGTAAGCAATCTAGTTTCATGTTTACCCTACCCACTCTCCTACTCCAGTTCTGGATATTTCAAAGCAATTCCCAGATATCACTATGTCATTCATAAATATTTCAGTATCATCTCTAAAATATATGGATTCTTGTATAGATCTTTTGATATTTTAAGAAGTCTTTTTGGAAAAATACTTCAGTTTAGAATTTTGGTCAGAAATGAACAACAGTTGGCAGTTATTTTAAATGTTATGTTAAGGTGCCATCCTGAAAATTTAGCCATTTTTTGGAAATGTTTATTATATTACTTAAAAATATGTAATTCTGTTGTTTAAAAACATATATCTTAAGGTATGGGTACTTGTTATTTTTTATTTTTTGTAATCCTCACTCAAGGATTAAACATGAAACACTCGAGGGTGTGCATTGATATTAGAGACAGAGGAAGGGATGGGGAGAGAGAGAAAAACATTGATCAGTTGCCTCCTGTATGCACCCTGACCAGGGATTGAACTCGAAACCTAGGTATGTGCCCTGCCCGAAGCCTTTCAGTGTATGGAATGATACTTTGACCAAGTGAGCCACACCAGCCAGGTCTGGGTACTTTTTAATATTTAAAAAAAAATCAAACTTCTGTTTCTTTGGTATGTTTTTCATCTTTTCAGGTGCGTGCTTTCCAACATGCCTTCAGCACTAATGACTGCTCCAGGAATGTCTACATTAAGAAGAACGGCTTTACTTTACATCGAAACCCCATTGCTCAGAGCACTGATGGTGCAAGGACCAAGATTGGTTTCAGTGAGGGTCGCCATGCATGGGAAGTGTGGTGGGAGGGCCCTCTGGGCACTGTGGCAGTGATTGGAATTGCCACAAAACGGGCCCCAATGCAGTGCCAAGGTTATGTGGCACTGCTGGGCAGTGATGACCAGAGCTGGGGCTGGAATTTGGTGGACAATAATCTACTACATAATGGAGAAGTCAATGGCAGTTTTCCACAATGCAATAATGCACCAAAATATCAGGTGAGAAACTAGGTATTTTCTTAAATGTGGGCCTTTGTCAAATCATGCCTTAATTTGTTTTAAATTTACAAAATTTTATATAATAGCTTTGTATATCTTTTTGGTAATTTTTAATTAAATAGTGTAACTGGCCTTTCTTTGCTACTCTGATGATGTTTTTAGTATTTCAATATTTGTTTCCTAATACATATTCAACCTTGAGCATTTCATCTTGGCTCTGAATCAGGGGTTGGCAAACATTTTCTGTTCAGGGCCAGATAGTAAATATTTTAGGCTTTGTGGTCCATATGGTCTCTGTTATAACTATTCAACTCTGTTGTTATATAACAAAAACAGCCATAGATAATATGTACATGAATGAGCATAGCTGTATTCCAATAAAAAAATAGGCTGCAGGCTAGATTTGGCTCAGGGGCCATAGTTTGCCAATTTGTGCTCTAGATTGTCATCTTTCCTTTATGATGACACATCCAAATCTACTTCTTCTAGACATCTTACCCCCAGGAATGCACCTGTGTGCATGCACACACATAACTCTCTGCTACTTTGTAATCTGTGGATTCAAAACCTCTGGAGGTGTCAGTGATTTCTATAAAGACAGACAAGTTCAGGCAAACTTCTGCATTTTAGAATTCTTTTCATCTTAGCCTTATACCATACTTATATTATTTTAGGGTCAAAATTACAGTTTTTATTTGTAAAAGCTATATGATTACCATAGGTCTAAAACATAGTAATCTGATAAGAAATTAGAAATTTTAAGGGATTATAAATTGCACATTTCAGGGAAAAAAAAAAGTGGTTTGAAAGCTCTAGCCTCAGCCCTGGACGATTTGGCTCAGCAGTTGGAGCATTGGCCTGTGGACCAGAGAGTCCTGGGTTCGGTTCCCAGTAGGGGCACATACCGAAAAAAAAAAGAAAGCTCTAGCCTCAGTAATGACCTCAAATCAGGCATACCAAAGTGGAAGAACTAAAAAATATATTTAATGTGCTGAGGTAGAAAAGCCTGGAAGGATTTTCTTTCATAGAATTCTTTCTTCACTGTCCTTTCAGACTTAGCAAATACCCCTATAGAAAGGGTATCCGGTCTTAATAATCACTGACAAGTCCTATGGCTAGCCTTGTGGTGGTTTTGTAGTGAAAGTCCTTCAGTCTTTGTTCTTTAGAGAACATACTCTGTATGATTTCAATTTTTAAAAATTTATTGAGACTCGTTTTAGTCCCAGTATATGGTTTATCTTGATGAGTGTACCATGTGTGCTTGAAAAAGAACATATATTCTATTGTTGGATGGATATTCCATAAGTAACATTTAGGTCAATTTGGTTGATAGTGTTTAAGTCTTCTATATTCTTACTGATTTTTCTTTCTACCTGCTCTATTATTTATTGAGAGGAGTGTTGAAATTTCCACTATACTTTCTAATTTATCTATTTCTTTTTTCAGTTCTGTTTTTGCTTCATATGTTTTAGAGATTATATCTCCCCAGTCTGATTAACTTTTATTAATATGAAATGACCTTCCTTGACTCTAGTAATATTTCTTGTATTTAAGTCTATTTTGTCTGATATTAACATAGCCACTCCAACTTTCTTACATTTACTAATGCTTGCTTTCTTATGCAAAATACCCTCCCCCCCATCCTTTTACTTTCAATTTGTCTTTGTATTAGACAGCATATAATTGGGTCTAGCTTTATATCAAACCTGATCTCACAATCTCTACCTTTTGATTTGAATGTTTAATCCATTTACATTAAGTATAATTGTTGTACTGCCTGATATTATCCTTGTCTCTGTGCCTCTAAAGCTATGTTCTTTTTTTAAAAATATTTTTTATTTTTTTGGATTGGATAATTTTTGTTGCTCTGTCTTTAAGTTCACAGATTCTTTCTTTTTGCCATTTCAGCTGTTATTAAGCCAAGCTAGTGAATTTTAGTTATTGTGCTCTTTAGTTTTAGAATTTTCACTTGGTTCTTTTTTTTTTTTTTTACAGTTTCTTTATTCAGATTTCTCTACTTGTGTGTTTATTAATACTAGATTTCTCTTTAATTCTTTGCACATATTTGTAGTAACTGCTTTGAAGTTTCTTTTTTTTTTTAATTCTCTCCCGAGGACATTTTTCCATTTTTTGTTCAGATAGAGTGGGAGAGGGAGAGAGGAAGAGAGAGAGAGAGAAACATCGACGTGAAAGGGACACATCATGTGGCTGCCACCCACACGACCAACCAGGGCCGGGGACAAACTGCAACCGAGATATGCACCCTTAGCAGACACCGAACTTGGGTCTCTCTGGACCACGGGCCAACACTCTAACTGCTGAACCAAACCGTTCAGGGCATGCTTTGAAGTTTCTGTCTGCCAGTCCAACATCAAGGCCTACTTGAAGTCAGTTTCTTCTGTTGACAGCTTTTCTCATCCTGAGTATGAGTTACACTTTCCTGTTTCTTTTAATATCCAATAATTCTTAAATTGAAAACTGGACATGTAGGTTATATGCGGTAGTGTCTGGAATGTTTTGTTTTTTTAGAAATTGCTTTGTTTTTTTCTGAAGAGAGTAGGTTTTCTTGTTCTAGCAGGCAGTTAACTTGTCTTGGCTCAGACTGTAAACTCTGTCTCCCCGTGATGTGCAGCAGCTAATGTCTTTGTTCATTTTTTGTTGTTGTTGTTTTTTGTTTGTTTGTTTTTTTGTTTTCTATGCCCGGCCAGTGTGGCTCAGTGGATTGAGTGTTGTCCCATGGACTGAGAGTTTCCAGTTCAATTCCCAGTTGGTGTGCATGTCCGGGTTGCGGTCTTGATCTCCAGTAGGGAGTGTGCAGGAGGCAGTTGATCGATGTTTCTCACATCGATGTTTCTATCTCTCCCTTCCTCTCTCTCTAAAAAAAAAAAAAATTCAATTAAAAAATTTTTTTTGGTTTCTAGCTGCTATTTTTCAGCCTGGTTCCTTAGAGGTTTCCTGGGTGTCTGTGTAATAATAGTGGTCACATAAGAATTGAGCAGAATTTATTCTCAGATTGTGGGGCTCATCCTCTTTGTGGTTCCTTTACTTCTAGAGCTTCCACTCTCAGTTTCCAGGTATTCTATCAGCTCCAAATTTTGCCCTCTGACACCTGAAGTTAGACTTCTGCTTTCCGCTCCCTTTGCTGTGTGCATACTGTATGCTCAGTCACAGGTGAAGTATCACCAGGAGTAATACTGTGTTTTTAGTTTCATCTTCTGTAAAATAGGGATAACATCTAGGATTGATGTGAAAATCAAGAGATAATGTAAATAAAGCACAAAATGAATACCCAACAATATATTAACTTTTCATTTCTGTGTTGTTGGTGGTAGATAGTGGTGATGATAATTAGGATGTTCTTAGGTCTGTAAAATGGAGTGTGGGCTAATCTGTGTGTTGGGCAAAAGAAGGGAAAAAGCAGATGTTGGTAGTTTATAGGAAATACAGTGAAGGAACATAACAACAACAAGAGTTATCATAATCGGGAAGTATTAAATTGCTTTTTATTTTTTCTTTTATTGATATTTTTACAGAGAGAAGAAGTGAGAGGGAGAGAGAGATAGAAACATCGATGAGAAAGAACATCGACTGGCCGCCTCCTGCATGCCCCTTTTGAGAATCGGGCCCATAACCTGGCCATGTGTCCTGACCAGGAATCGAACCGGCAACCTTTTGGTACATGGGTTGACACTCAACCACTGAGCCACACCGGCCAGACTAAATTGCTATTTTTGATTGCAAATGTTAATACTTACTTTTTTTTATCCTCACCAGAGGACATTTTTCCATTTTTGTTCAGATAGGGAGGGAGGGAGGGAGGGAGAGGGGGAGAGAGAGAGAGAGAGAGAGAGAGAGAGAGAGAGAGAGAGAGAAACACCAACGTGAAAGGGACACATTGAGTGGCTGCCTCCCACACAACCCCAGGGCTGGGGACAAACTGCAACTGAGGACAAACTGCAACTGAGGTAAGTGCCCTTAGCGGGAATCAAACCCGGGTCTCTCTGGACCACGGGCCAGTGCTTCAACCGCTGAGCCAAACTGGCCAGGGCACTTTTTTTTTTTCTTTGTTAATCCTCACCTGAGATTTTCCCCCCTCCCTCTTTATTATTTTTTTAAAATTTTTATTTATTTATTTTTGTTACAGATGTTTCTCCCTTTTCCCCCCCAGATACCCTCCTCCCGATCCTGCCCTCCACCCCCAGCATTATTGTATTGGTTACACATACATGCGTATAAGTTCTTTGGTTTATCTCATCCATCTCCCCCGCCTTCCTCTTTTGCGGTTTGTCAGTCTGAGCCATTCTGCTATCTATGTCTCCGGATCACCTGATAATATTTTTTACATTGATCTTGGAGAGAGTGGAAGGGAGGGAGGGGGAGAGAGGAGAGACGTCAATGTGAGAGAGACACATCTATTGGTTGCCGCCTGCAAGTGCCCCAACTGGGGCCAAGGATTGAACCTGCAACCCAGGTACATGCCCTTGACCAGGAATTGAACCTATGACTCTCTGGTCCACAGGCCGACACTCTAACCACGGAGCACACTGGCCAGGGCTGCAAATGTTAGGACTTTTCGCCTCCAACTACAAATGTTCGAGCTTTCTGCCTCCAAGTATATAGATGCAACAACCTTTAATAGATGCAAATTATAAAGATAAAAACATCCTCATTTCTTTGCTTTTCCAAATGGGAAAATAACAATATATTGTGCTTCCAGTTTAGTTTAACAGTCATTACTGCTGTTTTTGTAATGAACAGATGTTTCGGAGCAGTGCCCCACAAAATGACTGTTAAAAAGCCTATTCTGGCCCTGGTTAGTTTGGCTCAGCAGTTAGAGTATCAGCCTGCAGACCAGAGAGGCCTGGGTTCACTTCCCACTAAGGGCATGTACCTCGTTTGCTGTTTGTCCCTGCCCCGTGTGGGTGGCAACCACTTGATGTATCTCTCTCACAGTGATGTTTCTGTCTCTTCTTCCCTCGCTCCCTCCGCTCAAATGTCCTCAGGTGAGGATTTAAAAAAAAAGCCTATTCTGGCCCGGCAGGTGTGCCCCAGTGGTTGAGCATCGACCCATGCTACAAGAGGTCACTGGTTCGATTCCCAGTCAGGGCACATGCCCAGGTTGTGGGCCAAATCCCCAGTGGGGGGCATGCAGGAGGTAGCCAACTGATGTTCTTTCTCATCGATGTTTCTATCCCTGTCTCCCTCTCCCTTTTTCTCTCTCTCAAACCAATAAAGATTTTTAAAAATAATAACTCCCCATTTTGTACCTCCCACCTTCCAGCCTCTGGTAACCTCTGTTCTATTTTCTGACTATGAATATGAACATTCTAGATGCCTGATACAACTAGAATTATATAATATTTGTCTTTTTGTTTCTGGCTTATTTCACTTAGCATAATGTTTTCGAGGTGCATCCATGTAGCACATATCAAAAGAGCATTTCTTTTTATGGATAAATAATATTTCATTGTGTGTGTATGCTATAGTTGTTTGAAAAGGTTGTTTAGATAGCCTTTTTTTGGTAAAATATGATACCAAGTTACAGATTTTTAGTGATACTCTTCTTAAGAAAAGCCTTGAAACAATAAATAAATAAGATCTGAGGACTGTTTGAGGGAACATTTAAATTTTCAGTATTAAATGTAGATACCACCCTGGCTGGTGTGGCTCAGCAGTTAGAGCGTCAGCCTGCGATCCAGAGAGACCCAGGTTCGGTTCCTGCTAAGGGCATGTACTTCGGTTGCAGTTTGTCCCCGGCCCTGGTTGGGTCGTGCGGGTGGCAGCCACTCGATGTGTCCCTTTCACATCGATGTTTATCTCTCTCTCTCTCTTCCTCTCTCTCCCTCCCCCTCTGTCTGAATAAAAAATGGAAAAATGTCCTCGGATGAGGATTAAATAAATAAATAAATGTAGATACCATTTAAGTCTTAAGTTGAAAAACTATCAAATCAAGCAGTTATGATGAAATTTATTTATTATTATTTTTTATTTCTTACCTGAGGATATTTTTCTATTTATCTTCAGATAGAGTGGGAAGGAGGGAGAGGGAGGGAGAGAGAGAGAAACATCAACATGAGAGAGAAACATCAATTGGTTGCCTCCTACACAACCCTGACCAGGACTGGGACCCAACTGCAACTGAGGTTCGTGCCCTTAACCAGAATCGAACCCACGACTCATTGGTCTGCGGGCCGAGGCTCTAACCGCTGAGCCAAACCTGCCAGGGCATAATGAAATTTATATATGTTCTTTCTTCTAAATCAGTGGTTTTCAACCTTCCTTATGCCACGACCCTTTTATATAGTTCCTCATGTTGTGATAACCCCCAACTATAAAATCATTTTTGTTGCTACTTCATAACTGTAATTTTGCTACTGTTATGAATTGCCATTGTAAATATGTGTTTTCCGATGGTCTTAGGCAACCCCTGTGAAAGGGTCGTTCAACCCCCAAAGGCGTTGCGACCCACAGGTTGAGAACCGCTGTTCTAGATGTTTCTCTCTTACCAGAAACCTTCTCTTCTGGTTTTTCTAGATAACTTTTAGAGTATATATTCTTAATTAATATTTTTAACCTGTTCATTTATGTCATGTTTCTTCTAGCTATGCCTTTGGTGGGTTTTCCTCTAACCTTTTGATATCTGTTTGCAGATAGGGGAAAGAATTCGAGTCATCTTGGACATGGAAGATAAGACTTTAGCTTTTGAACGTGGATATGAATTCCTGGGGGTTGCCTTTAGAGGACTTCCAAAGGCCTGCTTATATCCAGCAGTTTCTGCTGTGTATGGCAACACAGAAGTGACTTTGGTTTACCTTGGAAAACCTTTGGATGGATGACAGTGGCTTTTTTGGAATGAAAGAGTAGAGGAGATATCTGCTTGTGGAAAGTAGAATCATGAAGTGACAGTGTCATACATGCATGTCCAAGAAACATCCTGAAAAACACATGAAATTGTTAACTGGAGAAGCATCTCTACAGCAAAGATTATCTTAGTGTTTCCTCTTTCTACTGGGCCAGAAAAATCCTCAGGGTTGCAGTTGGTTGAGTGGGCAGTTGACATAAGCATGTTGCAACAGATTTTGTCTCTAAGCTGTCAGTGTATTATTTCCAACTTTTAAGGTGAGATCTTAGAGATGCTGTAAAAGGGATAAGATAAGGAAATAGCAAGATTTTTAAGTAGTGTGTTTTTGAAGAAAGACTGATCCTGTTTTACAACTGCCTGTTTTTCTTCAGACCCTTTTTTTTCCCCCAGCCAGCTTGACTATTAGAAAAGTATGAAACTGGTTGGGTTTTATTTAATATTTTTAATATATTGAGAAGCATGGTCTGCTTGGACTGCACTTCTCTATAACAGTGAGATGTAAAATTGTGCAGCTATTTTAAAAGTTGTATATACATTAAGTGTGTTTAACAAAAGGACAAAGGGGTTGCTTTGTTCTGGTTCAGTTTCTTGAAAACCACTACATGGTACAAAATTAAAATAACAGGGACAATTAGGTAACTACAAAGAAGAGGATTTTAAGAGGAGATGTGTTGTATTGGCTCATTTTGTATTAGATTTGGTTTACAGTTTCCATAGCTATTATGGTCTTTTTTTTTTTTAATGATCAAAATTATTATAATCCTTTAATATACTGGATAAAGATTGAGAGAAGGCAGATTTCTTTCCAACCATACATGTAATAATGTGCATCTATAGTATCTGGTTTTATTTTATGGCCTTCTGAGAAAGTGTCTTACAAAAACAAAGAATATTGCCATTTGCTCTTGTAGGCTTCAGATATGAAAGATGTTAGTCACAGAAATTAGAAAAAGAATTGATTAGTGATCCTTTTATTTTGTAACTTTATAATGCTGTAGATATAATTTTATTTTAAATTTCATATTGTTTACAACATGCAACAATCTAAGCCTCAAACTCTTCATTGGGTTATCAAGAAAATGTTTACTCACCCACCTGGAACAGTGCCAACCTGAACCCAGGTTAATCTTATAGATAATTGCCCCCATGGGACTTGAAATAAAACACCTTGTGCTGAAAACTTCAGGTTGGCAATATTTTGAAGGTTTCATTGTAGAAGAACTTAACATTAATTCCTATTCCGAATTTTTTACTAATAAATCTGATTTCACTAATATTCTTTTGAATTAATCTAACATACATGAGTTGAGATTTTCTTTTGTTAAAAGAGAAACAAACATCTTTCTGTATGAAAGTATAAATGGTTTCAGATACATCTTTGTGATAAGAATTGACTAAAGCAAGTGGAATCTTTGTACTTTTTAAGATTATGGTTGTATGTATATTTTGTCTTAAGTCTAATAAAATTAGGGGCAGCAAGCAGCTGGCTGGGGTTCTTGGGTTGCTCCTTCAGAGTTAAGATTATCAATATTCCTATGAAGCAGGGGATTTCAGTCATGAACAAAGATTTATTTTTGTCACATGACAGGCTTACAAATATTTGTTGTGTATTTGATATGTTGCTTAAAAGTGAACTGTGTTAAAAGTTTCTTTTCAATATTCCATGTCAAGAAGAATCCTGGAAACCATATTTAATAGTGCAGAGTGAAATTATATGTTATATATATTAGAGATTATAGCTGCTACAGATACTGATTTTTCTTGCTGTGGAATGACTCAATTTGGCAAAGTTTAAAATTTGATTAAAGAAGAGAACTGGTCAGGACGATGATTGAACGAGTTATAAAATTAAAAAGTCCTTTAAGTACTCCTGTTTTTTTTTTTTTCCCTTCAGATTGTGCTATAGCCAATTCCAAGAGTTTTTGCTAAGAATTTTGTTTATAACTTCTGTTTTGTCTTACTAGTAAACATTCATTTTGTAACAAAGTTTTGAAGGTGCTGAATGGAAAACAGAAACACATGGTTATTGTATATTGAACCTAGAATCAAATAATTGCCCAAATATTTAACAACAAGCTTTTCTTATCTCAAAGGTTTAAATTCCCTAATATCCCATTTGCAAATTTTATAAAATGGAGGTTTATATTTAGCACAAGCATTGGGGGAATGAAGAGCCTTCATTTATGACCTGATAAATGAATTTGTTACTGGAGACCAAAGTAGCTGTACAGAATTTAAAACTACTATAGTGTTCAAGGAAATGGAATCTCTTTTTCATATGTGCTGAGAGAGCATTTAGGTAGAAGATAGTTGCACTGAAGATTGAGTATAAATCCTCTAAACCAGTACTCAACCTTAGCTGTACTTTGGAGTCACTTGGCTCCATACCCTAAGATTTTGATGTTGGTCTATGATATGACATGACCATAAGGATTTAAAAAAGGAAAACTTTCTAGATGATTTCCCAGTATGTTGCCAAGGTTTTCACCTTAAGTTTTCTCATCAGAAAAAAAAAGAAAGAAAGAAAATCCTTGCTCCCTCCCTTCACTACCTCCCAAGAATATTGAGGGTAGAGAAGATAATGCAAAAGGGCTTGTATGATGGATAAGAAGTGCTATTGAAAGCAGTTATATTTCAACTGAAACTATGAGCAGAAAAAGTGTGTAACAATTTGCTTTGTTGACTTGAGAAACCAGGATCATTCTCTAGTTTTTAACCTTAGTGAAGCATGCAGATATGTAAGCAGACATTACTATTACTCATTCATACTATGGTATTCTGTCATACTTGAGATAGTTTTAATTATCTGGTTTTACATAGGAAAGAAATATTAGGACTTAAAGTCTGTAATGGTCAATGGCTCATAATTCATTAAAACATTTCATACAAAGAAATCTGTGGTTAATATACATCATTTCACAGTTGCTATTTTTTTCATCATCTGACTTTTGAATGTTAAGCCACTTATCTCATCTCCTTCATTTTTATTCATGTAAATGTAGGTTTAGACTTGAGAAAGCACCTGAAGCAGGTAGGTTTTGGCCAGTTGAATACTTAGAAGTCATGGCTCAATGATTAAACACCTTCTGCAATTTAGATATGATTTTACCTGGGAAAGAGTTTAGAAAATAACAGAGCCCTAAACCATATAGTAGTTATTCTAATTAACTTTCAAGTCCCCAAACTACTGTTTATATAGACTCCGATATTTATTTTTTAATCATTTTAAAAAATGAACAGTTTGAAGAGATAGAAACTTAAGAAGTTTTAAAGATTAGTATTGAGAAGATTACTCCAGAAATCAAGGCCACCACACTCGGGAACCCTTGGAAGCCTTCCTTGAAGCAATAGTTTGTACCTGACCCAAATATTCTCACAAAGCATTCCTTGGTTGCTATAGCTGAATGTAATCTCTCCTTCCTTGAAATTCCCCTAGGTTTATATTTTATCTAATCTTAACCCATGCTATATTACTTTATACCTCATATAAATGTATTTATATTTATTGATTATTTGTTGGTGTCTTATCTCCCCTGAACATCTTAGAACAGGATGTCTGATGAACTCATCTTTATGTCCACATCATCTCAGCCCAATAAGCAGGTGCTTGCATTTTTGCTAAAGGAACAGATAAATAACTGTGTAGGAAGACAAAAGCTCCTTGAAGTTACAGACTACAGTAACAAAAGCTAGATGAGAAAGAAAGTCAGTATCCTGTCCAAGTAAAGCACAAAGAAAAGGAATGCAAATCTGAGACGAGTGAGGAAGAAATAATGACTGTGAATGCATTTTAGCCATTTCCCTTTATTCTTACATATTGGTAAACTCTGATTTTCAGGTTTTTGGTGTAGATTTCCTATTTGTTTAGAATTAAAATTAGAGTTCTGTATTTTAATTTTTGAAATTCTGTTATTTTGCTTTGGTTTCATAATAAAAAGTTAAAAAATTAACCACCTGTGACTGCTTACATTTAAAACAAATAACTTTTTTATACATTGGTCAGAAAAAAAAACAAAGTAACCCAGGTACCTTAGTAGCCAAACCTAATGGAATTTACCTACAAATTCTATGGCTTTTAATACTGGATTTTACATTCCCCATGTTTAGAGTTAAACGTAGACAGGGAATAGTAATTCACCAGGATCCTGTTCCCTTACTGTCTCCTCCCAGCTAACAGTTGTTTGATAATATGGTGTCTGCCAAGAGTAATAAGAGACTAGTATGTCTGAATCAGTTGATCATGTTACTGAAAGTTGCTTGATGTGTTAGTATGTTAAAATTCATGCAGAAGGTTTTAATTTTCTACAAGAAAAGTAGATATGAATTATCTGTATCTTTTTGTTCTGGGACAGCTTTACCATTTTGTTGTCTTAATTTCTTTTTTTTAGATCCTCCCCTGAACTGTTTGCTATTTATTTGTTTGTTTATTTATTTATTTTGGTACATGCCCCTAGCAGGACTCTCTGGTCCACAGGCCTATGCTCCAACTGCTGAGCCAAACCGTCCAGGGCTGTTTGCTTTTTATTTAATGTATTCATTAAAATATTGTTGAGAGCAATATGTTCTCTACTCTTTTTTTTTTTTTTTCTTTATTGATTTTAGAGAGAAAGGGAGAGGGAGTGATAGAAACATCAATGAGAGAGAACATAGATTGGCCGCCTCCTGCATTCCCCTTACTGAAGATTTAGCCCACAACCTAGGCATGTGCCCTGACTGGGAATCGAACCAGTGACCTCTTGGTGGATGGGTCAATGCTCAACCGCTGAGCCACACTGGCTGGGCTCTTTGTTTATGTAGTTGACTTGTCACATTCTCCAACCAATGTTTAAAAAGTCTTATTCATCTCTGCCCCTTTATTGTTCACCTTTACCTTTGAAGGAAAGAATGCTTAAGGTTGGAATGAGAGAATCAATGATTTCTCTCCCTGCTTCACCAAGCCAAAGAGCAATATGATTCACCACCAAATTGCCTAGAGTAGTGAAGAGCATGGATGGATGGCTACTTGCTGAAAGGCACACTGATATGGAACACTGGTTGCATTTAGTTTGGGAGCAGCCAAACACATCCACCTTTCTAAGCACAATCTATGGGAATAGTGAATTAAAGCATTTATGGATGGAACCACTTGGAATGGAGAGTGACTCCCTACACCACTCTGGATATCAGCTGGGTCATAGCTTCTGAAATTGTAAGGATCTCCCTACCCACCCAGCTGTTAGTCACCCACTTATTTAGAAAGAATGAAAAAGAGAAGACAATTCATAATTCATTAAATATTTTTGTGCACCTACATGTACCAGGCTTTTGCCAGGTCCTATGGGTGTAGAGAAAAAACAAAGTGGTCTCTTCTAAAGTTGTTCACAAGATAGTGAAAGAGCAAATGTGTAAGTATACTACCATGAAACAGTGGAATAATTGCTTTAGTGGAGTTATGTATGAGGTCCAGTGTGGCATAGAAAGAGGGAGTATTGAACTTAACCTGGAGTAATATTTAAACTTGAGTCTTAGAAGATGAATAGAAGTTAGTGAGAATAGAGCCACCATTCTAGGAAGGTGAAACAGTATGTACAATGATAGCAGAGGCATAAGTATAGCCAGTATGTATGGAAACTGGGTGCATCCTGGAAGAGTGATGGGAGAGGATATGGAACAAGAGGGTTGGGACCAGATTATAATTGCCATGCTAAGGAGTTTGGGTTTCA